CTAAAATGTCAGTACTCTAACCTCATTCAAAAGATTCTTGAATGTTAGATGACTTAATGTTTGTGAAAACAATTGCCATCATATCCGGTCCCTAGATTTCAATGCAAATTGTGGATTTAGCTTGGGAATAATTAACATTACTTATCCCTCTCCACCTCTTTTGGCTCAGCTAAGTGTGAGCTTCCCAGGAAATAAAGCTAGAAGGTCTCCGTGGCATGAGTAGGAGGCCAGCACTTGCAGTTCTGTTTGATTTGGAATTTTAAAGCTCCATCAGGAATTAAGGTAAGCACAGAGATGGAGCCACTAAGGAGACTGGAAAAGAACAGACAGTCCTGGAATGTGGCAGCCCCTGTTTGATTTTAAATGTAAGTTAAATATTAATTTTGCTCTTAAAAAACTCCCTTTCTCCAAGAAGGCCCTTTTCTCTCACTCTCTTATGTTGACATACTGTTGGTGGCTTGCTTTTTCACACTAGCTTATTTGGAGGGAAAGAAAAGGCTTCAGATGATCCTATTCGGGTAAGAAAAAAAATGTTCAAAACAACTCCCTTGTCGCCAGCATCAACAGCAGCCGAACACCGTCTGAGTTGTTGCACAGTGAGAATTATTCTCTTCATTTCAAAGGCATCAAAGACTGGGGCAAGCGAAGCCCTGGCTACACATGATGGAAATAAACTAATATCAGATTTGCTTACAGAAAGTGTTGATTAAATCTACTGCTGAAGCCTAAGTACACCTTTCATTCTTCCACTGGGATTTTATAGAAAGAAGAAAAATCAGCTCTAAAAAGCTAAGCTGATTTAAAGAAATGAAGAAACATTTGACCATATTTGATGATCGTCTGTTCTCTGAATTCCTTTCTGCTGATAGTTTCTTGAAGCAAGCGGAATGTAACAATATTGTTGATCTGTAAACAGAAGTCAAAAGGAAATTCAAGCTGCTGTCAAGACTCATTCCAAATATAATAAAAAAGGGAAGTGATTGAATCCTTTGAAAGATTTTGGATGGCCTCTCTTGTTCTTTGGCTGTTCTTAAAATTTGTAAGGAATAGGGAACAAAAGTGAAATTTCAGACTCCTATTTTATACCTATCTCAAGGGAATTGTCAACATCTTCTGTTTCCAATACTTCCTTTTATCAAATCACAATTTCTTTCATGCACTCTCTTTCACTGTTTACAAAGAAATTTGCAAAAATACTATCACCTATTGCTTCAGGACATTTAGCATATAGGCTTCATGTTTTATGGGAAATTAAACATCTTGCTGCTCTCTATCTGTGTGACTTGTGGGTCCATTTTTCCTGACTTATAAAATAATGGAAATTGGAAAAGTCTTGCAGTGCCAAATTAGGACCTGTCCCGGGGTTCTTCAAGTTCAAATTCAGCATTATTGACACTTAAAGCTGGACAGTTCTTCCTTGTGGGTGGCTTTCCTGTGCATGATTAAGGTGTTAGCGCCATTCCTCAGTCTGTAGTGTTCTCATTTTCCACTCCCCTCCCCATTTAACAATCGAAAATATCTGAAGGCACCGTCAATGTCTCTGTGTGGTCAAAATCATCCCCAGTTGAACACTATTACTTTAAATCATGAAGATGGTGGTTCTCAAACTTTTGTTTGTGGGTATCAGAATTCCTAGATAACATGGGAAAAGCATAGAGGTCCAGACTCGACTCTACTTCCAAAAGCCAGGCTTCTGTGGCTCTTTTTTCATAAGCCCTGTGATAACCCAAAACATTGAGAGGTACCATGAATAAGACACTAGATGATGACAGGTGCTTCTTGCACCACAGGGAAATTGTCAGAATTACAGATTTGGGGGTTCCACCACAGACTTAGTGAGGCAGGAACTCTGAGATGGGATCCACTTAGTTTTCTAAGACATGGGCCAGATAATAAGGAAAACTCTGAGCACATCCAGCAAGAATTTCAAAAGTGCAAGACAACCTTGGAGGGCTGCCTTTCAACACAGTAGGCACCACTGGTCAGAGCATGGCTGGAATCAACTCCTCTGCATAGCACAGCTCTTATCAGCATACGCTCATGAACATTTTGGATCTGATCACTTTTTAAGAGGAAAATCATATTAGCCTTCTGGGGAAAAGAGATCAGAGGGAATGCACAAAAAACCCTTTTCTATTCCTGTATCTCAGACATGCTAAAATCCTCCAGAGCACTGCAATCCTAACTCACCAAGTGATTCCTTGGCAGGATGCATTTTCTCTAGACCTGTGATTCTCAATCTTGATTTCATATTAGAATCAAAGGGGCGAGTTCTAACAATCCCAATGGCCAGGTCATACCCCAAGTCAACAAACAGAATCACTCATATTAGGTGCCAGATAGGAATATGTTAAGTTCCTCAGATGATTTCAATGTTCACAACAATCTCAGGTGTCAATAAAATGGTGCCTCTAAAGTCAGGTAGGGGTTGTACAGAAGGACATGAAGCAGTAGGCTATGCAGGCTTCAAAGATCGCGAGCAGTTTGGGAACCAGTAGGATGTTTACGTAGCTTCAACCTCCTGCTTTTGACTCTGTCTGTGCCATTTTATCCCCCAAAGTCTTCCTAGATCTTTCCTGCCAGAAGCCATATTGACAGCCTCTGTTTCCACAGCACTTTGACTCTCATTCAATATGTGCCTTATTCTTACCTTGTATTGTAGCCCTGGACATCATGTTTATCTCCTATACAATATTCTAAGTCATCAGACATAAGGATTCTTACTAAGGGCTGATCAGACCCTCAGCTGCCTTTAGGGGGAACGATGGGGAATAAAAAGAAATACAGACAATTTTTGAAGATATAAAGTGGGGGACCTGGAGGAGACCTACCTGCCTCTAGTGGTTGAATAAAACACTGTGGTTGGCCCACTTTTATTAGCTAGCGAGAAGACCAGGGGGAGGGATAGTGTGCATTTCATGGAACAGCATCCACAGAGAATAGGTGAATAAGGGTATAGTTAATGAGGAACCAGATTTTCTCCACACTCAAATGCCTGTATATTGACAACGGTCCGCAGCAGATGTCTTGTCTCAGGAGTGGCAGGTTATCGGTATTTCTGAATGTAAGGATAAAACATAGCAAAACGTATTGGCACTTTGCCCACAGTCCCACAGCAGTCTCTTCCATCCTAATGCGCTTTAAAACCTGTCACAATTAGATTAATAACTCTAGACTTCAGAGTCTTTAACAAGCAGAGGCGATCCCTAAAGAAAAAGTCTGGGCAGGTGATTCAATACATCTAGGGTATTCAGTGTTCATTCAGCTCCAAACTGGAGCCTTACCCGCAGTGATATGAGAAAACTTCGATAAAACAGTGAAGCTTGATGGAAAGAAAAATACAAAGAGCACGGTTACTTCATTTCCCATGGTGTTCTACCACTCGGTCTGGTCACAATCAAAGCCAAAGTGGCAACACAGCAAAGTGAATAGACTGAAGAACATGGAACTGGCAACCTCCTGAATACAGTGATGACTCCACCCAAAAGCCTTCTTCGGGAAACCCGGAACAACTTAATGGTAAAGGTCGTTTATTCCATTTACCATCGCAGTGGTCAAGAGCATGAAATCTCCTGCCTGGGAGGAGAAGGGAGTCCAGCGTCTAGCACATAAGCCTGCACACATCCCTTTCAGCGTGTGAAGCCAAGGGACAGGAAAGAGGGGCACACCTTGGCTGAGAAATATTTATGACTCTGAGGAATTAGAAGAACAGGAAAGCCTCCAGTGAGTTCCTTGGAGTCTGACAGCTATTTCTGTCAACTTTCCCACTCCTAGAGGGATACTGGTTGCATAAGTCCTGGGGTACTGGATGGCTTACACTGCCTCTTTGTTCGGCGTTAACAATAATAATTTGTATCTAAATAACATTTGACACGTTGGACTTTTCTGGCTGCTTTAGGAGATGAGGAAACTTAAGACTCAGCTGTACAATCCGGAAAACAAAGACAGGACATAAATGCAGCTTCTCTTTCCAGCAGATTTCTAGAACCCTGTAATGCCAGGGGTCTGTTGAGGACAGGCAGCCTATTTATGGGTCTTTCCCCGAACAACTCTTATTTGCTTCAATGCAACCAAGTTGGGGGAGAAGGCAAGGGAAGGACAGGGAGATCCTCCCCAAGGTAGGGAGCACTAAGCTTTGTTTCTAAAGGCCCAGAGTTGAGTACTTCCCTTGCCATTTCCAACTTGAGCAAATGATTTTTCTTTTCGAAGCTCTTCACCTAGTTGTAGGGTTCCTGGAGCGCTCACCAGTCCTGGAGCTTTAGGTGGATTCTGAAAAAACTGCCAAGTCCAATACAGAGTCCAGAAAATGACTAAGACATCCCCCCCCCACGTCACGGAGCTAGATTTTCTTCATCTCTAATCCTGGGATCGGGTCACGCTGGTCCGCACCCCACACGTGTGCGAAGCTCCCGCCTGGCCGGGGTGGTCCCCGTGGCCCCGGAGAGCCCGAGCGCGCCCGGGGGCA